GAACTCGAATTAGGTATCTCATATATAATTCCTTAAAAATTCTTAAAAAACATCGAGCAAAAAAAGCAAAACTTCTAAAGATTGGGGTGACCTCTCTGTCTCCTGGTCGCGACAGCTCTGAAAATAACACGCGTCTATCTTCTTCTACAAACTACATCATTCTATCAAAAGAAATAACAATTCAACATACATTATTGCCAGTCGAATCATGTGTCTACTATAGAAATACAAGTATGATTCACTATGTTCCTTCATAATATGATATTATCAAATAATGCTATTATTTCTTCATCTTTATTATTCAATAGATAAATTTTCATTACATAGAATACTGTTTTGTGACAATTTTATTTTTGAAAAAAATTGAATAAATTATCAATTAAAAACTAATGAGTCATTCAATATATTCTAATATGTATTAATTATTAACACTTGATATTTATCGGGACAAATATCATGATATTGATTAAAACAATGATGAAAAACAAATGACGTAGAATTATATATGAATCAAATTTGTCAAACAGTTAAAGAAACTGGATCATGTGCTCATCGTATTATAAAATGTATTTAATTGTATTATTTCAATCATGTGATGAACAAATTATTTATTGACAAGAATATGTTAAAAAAAACAGATATTTAATTAAATAATTATTTGATTTATCTTTTTTTATTGAAATATTTTCTTATATTAAATTTAGGTATCTGAAATCAAAAAATATTTTATGTCTTGTTGATGTAGTTCAAAGAGAGTTATGATCCAAATTAATATTCAATTTTGAATGTTTCAGTCATATGAAAAAGGTTATTTTATTAGAAAAATCTAAATATTTTTTAAAAATATTCTTTATAATTTAGATATTATTTCTAATTTTATTACAATAATGTATATCAATGGGCAAAGCAAAGTCTGTTTGATTCTTCTTGACTTTCACATTGCTTATCCTATCAAAGGTATGTTTTGAAAAAATAAAGAAAAATCGAAAAGAAACTTTTGATGAAATAGATAATAAACAGTCAATATATTTTTTCGTAATTATATATTATCAACTAATGTCGTTATTTGCTGCTCTCTATTCTTCTCACGATGCTTTTGCATCGAAAGGTGGCCATATTCGTTGCAAAATTGTACGTATAATAATTGTCTCGTTTTGTTTTGGTGACGATGAACGATAGTTAATTCTTTCGGATGGGTTATTATGAAAATAAAAATAATTTAACCTTTCGAAAGAAAACACAACCAATATATAACGAGTGTTCCAGGTGAAATTGCACTAAACCTCAGTGGGTTCTTTATCTCGTTTTCTATTTATTAAAAAATTGTTTTATATGCCAAACGATAGAGAATTTGAAGCTCTATAAAACTACGTTTATCATAGATCTAGATGCATTACTATCAAAGAAAATAAAAATGAAAAATAAATATAGTCGAAAATATACACTACGATGAGTTACTATTAATAACCCATCGTAGTGTATATTTTCGACTACATTTATTTTTCATTTTTATTTTCTTTGATACTAATACATCTACAGGATGACTGAAAAGTAACTCCATATTTTAAATTCTTTATTACCCGCAAACAGCAAAAGATATCGTCCTGATTTTTTTCACCATTTTGAAGCACGGACTATGACATTATATTGTAGATGAAATAAATTGATTGATCATTCCACTGTCTAAGATCAAGCACTAATAGGGTTGCAACGGTGACGATAACTGGTCTAACGGTAACCGTTTCACCGAAAACCGGTGTGAACTGCTAACCGTTCAACCGATAACCGGTTCAGGCCGGTTATCATTACACTCGCATATCGTTTTACATTTGGAGCTATATGTTGAATAAAGCGAGTACTCATTATCCCTCATGTCCTATATATAGGGACACTTAGCCCATTTCGAGTCCTATATGAGAGATATGCCTAAGACCTCTCAAGACCTAGGTTGCGAGGTACCGAAGTGATTTCAAGTCCTACGTACGGAGAATATCTAAGAGTCCTGAAGTTCTCTATATATGGAGGTCATAGAAGAGGTGTTAGTTATCCTTCTCTATACAGCATTTGTCAGGCCTTAAGTACTCATGGATAGCACTTGGAGCCACTTCGGTAGTCTTCCCTCTTATATTGGAATGTGAGGAATGATGAGTACTCGCTTTATTCAACATATAGCTCCAAACGTAAAACAATATGTGAGTGGAACGGTTACCGGTTCACACCGGTTACCGATTAGACCGGTTTTTGGCAGAACAGTTACCGATTCCTACGATCAAGCGGTGACTAATCGTCACCGTTGCATCCCTAAACACTAATTTCCTCTTGAGAATGTAAAAATAACTCATTATTTTGAATAGTTTATTATTCATATATGGAAACAAATATCATAACAACCCTTAAGTCACCCTTACCATGACTCTTGGTTTATGTGGGATTTTGAGACATTATGTATTATAAGAATGAAATAAAATTAAAGATGAAATTATATCAAAAAAGAATTTGAATCTCTTAGTATTGATATAAATCTATAGTTATTATTAAAAGATGATTACATGACAATTTTCAATGATGAACACAAGAAAAAGAGCAATTTATTCTGAAATGAATTGATAATTATGAAACATCATACGATATTGTTTAAAAAGTGTTAATAATGAAATTTCTCTGTGAAAGATTCATCATTTTTGAGCTCAAATTTTAGTGCATATAGAAAGAACTTTTAGATTAGAATAACTCCAAAATGATTTAGATCCGTAGGCTTTCTCTACATAATTACGACAGTTTTGCTGGATTTTTACTAAGGGATGTTTAATTGGCGAGAAAACTGAATAGAAAATTTTTCACCTAAAACTTTGTCTGCAAATAGGTATCTTCATCCTAAGAATATTCTAAAACTCGATTTTTCTGATCATTTCAAAAATCTAATTGGCTTTGAACATTGAATATTTCAAGAAGAAAGCAATCTTGCTGACTATAACTTTTAGGATATTCTTAAGGATCAGAATATCTACTTAAAGGTGCAATTTCACTTCAAAAATCCATTGTTCAGCTTTTTTGTCAATACTTCGTCCTATGGACAAAATTATCGTAACTGTATAGAAAAAAGGTATATGAGCCCCAAAATATTTTTAGGATTATTGTAGTCTAAAGATCTGTTCTATATGTACACAACATGATGTTATAAAATAATCGAGACTAATGAAGAACATGTTCAATAATTTATTCGTGCTTCCTCAACAATATAATACATTCAAAGATGTTGTACCATGTAAAATTAGTATTAGTCGATTTTCTTACATGAAATTTTATGTGAATCATTGTTGAAAAACTTATTCGATTGAATCTAATCAATACATCTTTGATTATTAAAAATGAATTAAAGAGAAATAAATGCATAGAGAAATGAAAACAAATAAATAAATATTAATTGTACTAATGAATAACAAGTATCTATCTGTTGACATATGTTTCAATGGCTTAACACTTCTTACGAATGATTATTATTAGAAAAAAATTCAAAATTCAGTTCCATTTAGTTAAACAGTCTTTGATCAAAACGAAAAGCATTATAGATAATGACTAATTACGACTTAATGAAAAATATAGATTTACATGTCATTCAAGAGAGAGAAATTAAATGTCAAGTGATAGTGAAAACTCTATTGACTAGTCAAAACAATTGTGTATTGCTCAAATCGTATGTTAAAGTAGCATGTAAATGTAATTTTTAATGGTACGGATAGTTTCACATCGTCAACAGTTCTCAAATTAGCTAATGATGATAATTTTGAATACGAAGAAGATAAAGAATATATATGTTAAAGATACAATTTACTTATGTTACTGCACTGAATGAAAACGTATTCGAAAGCAATTTTGACTTTGAACTTATATTATATCTTTTTCGTTTTCAAAGTAAAGCTGCACATGTGATACTTGTGATACTTGTGATACTTGTGATTTACATTTAAAGTTGATAATTTATCTCTCAATAAATATTCGAATTATAGATAACAGTATGAAATACAAAAATTTAACTACATAGTCTTTTATTCATGATAATATTTAATCGATCATTAATAATGACTATTTGATCTATGATTACAAACACGTAGATATTTCTTATTTTGTTAAAATATGCATTTAATGGTTATTACTATTTGAAGGTAAGCATAATACTTTTGAAACTGAATGAAATCACGAAGAAGTGTTTAATATTGAATTCAAAGAATTATCTACACTATCATATTGCATCACAGAGATCATGACTCAAACAATCAAAATAATAAAAAAAAAATGCCAGATTGAGAATATGTAATGTATAGTCACTGGTTAATGAATTATTTGTTATTTAATAGGGAGCTTTCAACATTAGAAAAATGAATAGTATACAATCTTTTCAAAATTGCATCATCGTTTTAAAGTAATTCAATCAAGCTTACAACAGAAAATAAAAATCTATGCAAACTATATATTTATTATTTACAAATGATGACAAAAGGAATAAATTATTGCTTGAAATATATTGTAGTAAAATCCATCAACGTTTGTTTTTATCTCATCTATATAGATTATTAAACAATGGAAAAAGAAATTTGCTCAACTTGTTCTAATAGATGTTGAATCAAACAAATAATGACGGTGAAGAGAAACTTTAAATAAAACACAAATTATTCAAGTAAGGAAGATCATTGGGAATGAAATTAATAATAAAAATAAACAAATAAATGATTCGAAAGAAGAAGAAGAGGAAGTTTTTTTTTTGAGCAAGAAATATATACGATGAAAACGATTAAAATATTAATTGAATAATCATATGAGAATAGTTGTTATCGATTTTTTTTTCAATGTAAAATTATTCACTTCAAAAACACAAAATAAAAGCGATAAAGAAAAAAAAAACTCTATCTATAAATTTCAAAGCTCCCTGAGTGCAGCAAAAAAAAGAATATGTTCAAATAAAATATTGATGATATCATTTGTACTACCAACATTATAATATTTCATCTGATTGCACTCATTGATGTACTAGCACGTTGACTACTTGTTGATGTATGTGGTTGATGTTGAATTTGATGAACAAGTTGTTGTACAACACCATTTGTCGCTTCTCCACGTCCTACAGTAGCAACCGTTTTATCTGTTGATATTTGTTGAGCAGCAAGAGCAGCAGCTGCTTGTTGTTGTTGCATTTGAGTTTTAAGATCATATCGATGACGTGCAAAACCACCAGCTATATGACCTGATTATATCATACATACATTAACGATTCTAATAGATTAAAAAGAATTATTTACCTTGAGATGCACTTGGTTGTAATGAAAATTGTTCAGGACCACTGATACTATGACCAGTTGTTTGATAAACAGCATCCATACCAGGAGTATACGTCGCATCCATCTATATTTAATTAACTTCAAAAAAAATAAAAAGAAACATTTGTATGGAATAATTTACTTCTTTATTGTATTGAGTTTGATCTTCAACATAACTTTGATAATCATCATAATTAGCAGCTCGTGCTGCTGGTGAACCAATAAATGATTTTGGTGAACGTAAAGTTTTCGTCTATGATAACAAGAAATGATTATTTTTTTTTTCTTTGTTATATCAATTTATCTTATTTTACTAGATAAGCTGCAATAATTGCTCCTAATGCAAATCCAAATGCTACATCTTCCCAATGATTTTTATTACTTGCAAGTCGAACACCACCGGCTACAACCGATAATGTAATTATTGATAAAATAAGAAATGGTTTAACAATTCGAACACGTTCAATACGTATTTCTCGATGAAGATAAATCTAGTTATGATATACAAAAATTTGATACAAAAAAAAAAACAATAACAACAAAGTTTTTCTCATAATATACCGCAAGAAATGCAGCACTATACATTGATAATGAAGCATGTAATGATGGAAAAGAAAGTCTAAATAAACGAGAGTAATATTTTAAATGTAGAACATTTTTATTATTTTTTTTTAACAATACCGAGCTTCTCTTAATAATCCAGTCATATTCTTAGAAAGACATACAAATTCAGCATCAGTTAAACCTTAATAAAATATTCGTCATATTCTACGAATTAATTTTTATTATTAAAAACTTACCCATTCCATTACATGATTTTTGATCTGGATTACATAAAGTTAAAAAGTAAGGTCTTAAACGACCTGACATTATTTTTAAAATATCTGTAAGAACAGTTGTTGCCAATGCACCAAAAATAAACACAGCTATAAATAAATTGTCACTTTAAAAAAAAAAAAGGAAAAAAAAATCTGATGATATATAAACATACAAATATATTTAAGAATACGAGCCAATGATCGAATAAGACAATCTTTAAATCGAATAGCAAAACGTGTTCGATAAGAATTATACGATATAAACGAACGAATAAGTTCAATTATTGAAATCTATAAAATAGAAAAGAATGTAAAAAAATATAGAAATCATTTTTCTTTTTCTTACGACAATAATTGGAACTAATAAACATATGCCATAAAGAGTAACATTAGAAAGTATAATATAATTTCGTTCTGTATTAGCATCTTCATATGATTGATAATAACGAGCATCATCACATAGAAAACGTTGTTGTCGAACAGGAAATATATCCGATGCTCTAAGAATTAAATTTATTTATGTCTCAATCATTTTGTATATTTATACTGACCGAAGAAGAAATGCTATAACAATAGCAAATACAAGCACGATACTATCAAGTACAGCTGTAGCCAAGGCATATCGACCACCATTTCGAACATATTCACCTGTTGCGTCAGTATAAGGTCCACTTCTATAATAATTAATTATAATTAATAAAAACAAAAATATATTCTTTCATTAATAAATATACATGCGAGATCGTGTATCCATTTTTTCTTCAACTGATTATAATCATTTCTTACTAACAAAAAACAAAAAAAAAAGATCTATACATATGACTAGAATCAATGCAAGAAATCATGTAACTTACATCTCAAATTTTTTCTCTTTGTCGTATTATTCAAATATACAATGAGAGAATGATGATGGCCGTGAAATATTCACATGTATGCAAACATTCGATCAATACGATTTTCTTTAGCACGCACACGTACAAACAACTAGAATTTAGTATTTTATGATAAAAATGATCATAAAAAAAGATAAAGAGAAACAATGAGACGAACGAGATTGTTTAACATCATCGGTCCGAAAGATGAAGTAAAAGTTAAGACATTAACAAATACTAGTCAACCGATAAAAACGAAAAAGAAAAAGAAAAGAAACATTCTTTCATTTCCTTGTCTCTCAAAAGACTCATTGAACACGATAAGAAGAATTTCGTTTGTTACCGTTATGTAATAGTTAGAAAAAGTAAAAGATAATCAACAATTCTCATCCGTTATTTTATTATATATCAAGGTGGACATACATACATTTAACGATATATTATCAAAAAAAAAAAAACTTCTTGTTTTTTTATTCAATCGATTGACATTGAAATACAAAAGCAGGTTTTATCCATTGATGACAATTACATCGTAAACCTGAAAGTGAATATTCACCTAAAATAATTTTACAATTTGGACAACCTATTGTACCAATAGGATTAATAAAGATTTCATCAATCCAATCAAGAAAAAAAGTGAAAATTCGACTATCATCATTACATATAATAGTCGGTTCTTTTTCATGTCTTTGTATATCATTATTAGTAAATAATTTATAATGACAAGTTCGACATTTGTATTCTTGTTCATTTTCATTATTTAATAATATAGTTGTGTTATTGTCCATTGTTGATTTTGATTCAATTGTATCAAAAAGTTTACGTTGAAACTCTTTATAAAGTTCATTTTCCATATCAACTTTATAATTCATCTGATGATATAAATCAAGTTGTCGTAGAAATCCATCATTTGGTATAACAGGTGAATAACGTCGTTTATTAATTATTTTTTCAAGTGCTTGTTCACGTGTTAAAGAATATTTACGCATTAAATACATAGTAGCTATTGTTGCTGAACGTGATATACCTTTTTGACAATGAATCAATACTTGATGACCTTGTTCTATAGCTTTATTAATAAATTGAAAACATTTTTCAAATTCATGTGTTAATAAATCTGTTGATTGCAAATCGTCAGCATGAATATATAAATGTGTTCGATTTTTATCGATATGAGTTGGTTCATAATCAAGAATTGTTAAAATATGAGAAATTTGATGATCATCAAGAATTTGAATATTTTCTGATGCAGTTATATCACCTAACCAAAGACCTTTATCATCAATTTTATCTGCTGTAAACATTATCTATATTTGTTAGAAAAAAATAAAGAAAATATCACATATATTTCAATGAATTATTTAAAATATTATCACGCAACAAAAAAATGGAACCAATATATTTTATCAATGAAAATAAGAAAAATATTTAAAAAAAAAAAGACGCATGATACATTCTTTGATTGATCATCATAATAATAAAAATAATAGAAAACCACTATATATATATATATATCCTTCTAACCAAAATAAACGGTTCACTTCAGTTTTTTTTTTATTACTTCTCTTTATCTTAATCGTTTGATGTTATATTTATTACTAGAGATATATCTTTGATAATGTCACTTAATTTAAAACTTGTAGTTCTATGGAATGAGAATTCGTTGAGAAACGTACAAGTATATCGTGTTTGTTCTTGCGTAACAATAAAATATTTTGTTCTTTTTTAAGATCAATTAGGTTTGAGATTTTGTTTGCAATGTTATACGTTGTTTTTTTGGTTAGATTGTTTCGCAAAACATTCATAAAAATCAATAGAAGTTAATTCATTTTTCGAAGGTTGATGTGTTATTTAAAAACAAAATTCAAGAAATTGTGGCTTCACTGCTACATACATGTACGAGATATATTTGCATTTTTTTCAACGAGTTCTCATTCTATTGGGCTGGAGCTGTTAGGATGTATTCAGTAATAAACGATATATCGATGATATAAATATAAGGTCAAACTACAAAAGTAGAGCGAAAAAAAATTGTAAAAATAAAGTGTACCATATATTATTGCCTGAACGACATATACATTTATACTATCTAATTGATCGATAATAAAAAAAAAACAGAAAAATTTGTTTATGCCATTGGATAATATATACATATTGATTTGTTTAACATTTTGAATTTAATGTTGAAAAAAAATATGATGTTGTTCATTGAATTCCTTTTGCTGCTAATTCTTGTCGAACTCTAAATAATCAAACAAACAAAGAATAAACTCATTGAACAAGTATTTTCAAATAATTCATTTACCGATTAAAATATGTTTCATCTGGGTAACCGAAGCTAAAACAAAACAAAAAAATATTAACGCAACAAATATTTTTTGTTATGTGTATTTTTCAAAGTCTAACATAATAAAATTTTCTTATTAGATCCTCACGTAAAAATATTGGTCAATTTAACGAAGTCTCATGACGTGAAAATTTGTTAAAAAGTTCACACATTTTAACAATTGCTGGGGAATTTAACAAAAGTTAATGATATTTTTCTTGTGAAATGTTGTTAAAAAAAAAATACAACATGTAATGATTAGTCATCGATTTATTTTAATATAGAGGATGTATGCCAAATTACAGAGCAAGTATCTCAAAGACTTCGAAACTGATTTTATCAATCTGAGAAACAGCATTGAACTCTGATTATTTTATATATCTGGGATTCATCCTCAGGTATCGAAAAAACTTTTTTTATCATCGTTCCATTACAAGTCACTATAGTTCGATAATGCAAAACGTGCTGATTGCAAATATCATTGTTTTTGTAAGTGCTTAGATGATAAAAAAGATCTGAAGCACTTTCTAAAAGCCTTAAAAATCAATTTTTGACTTGTAAGTTCATTATATTCCAATTCTAGATTCGTCGAGAATAGGTCTATTTGATGCAGAATTCCTCTCTCTTTCACTAAATGCCAAACACTATCTCGAATGGGTCATATTGGTACAAATAATGATTTGTTCAATCTTATGTAATTATAGTTTCTACGTGTGTGCTAGCGAGATTTTTTTAAACAAATACTTAGTTCAATGTGCTCTTTCTGTTGACATAATTTTCAACTTAAAATTTAATATCTAGCAAAGTACTTTTGCTCTAAACACTATACTTGTGAACGAATTTATGTCTTTTTTTTACTAATATTTAACAGTTTTCGAGCAGAATAAATCCCATTTAACTTCAAACAAATATCATATTTGAAATCAGCACAAAAAACTGAATCGAAAATCGTTTCTGCGATTTGCTTTTTGGATCAAGCTTTTCATCATTAATTCCCCTAAGGGATATATGAAAAAATGAACTTCAGAAAAACAACTCTTTAATATCTAGAAACCTCTGATTTTCTCTTCAAATAGCATTTTACAAAGTCCAGAACTGCGTTTTCCATTGCCAAAACGTTTTTTTCAAGTAAATTCATTTTTCATATCTTTTAGAGAGAGCTTCAGAGCTTTCTTATTATCTAAATATTCTTTAAAAAAACTTTGATATTTGTAATCAGCACACTTAGTTTCATTGAACTATAATGAATTGTAATGAAACAGTGGTAAAATACAAAATAATCAATGTTCAATGCTGATTCTCAACCTAATAAAATTAGATTCAGATTTTGTGGAACATTTAGTTCGTAATTTGACACATTTCTTTTATCATTATTTCAAATGTTAATCTTGTAAAAGAAAAGAAAATTTGATCTTTAGAATACGATAACTATTAACATGAGTGTCATATGAACTTACTTTACCATCCCACCATAAATACTTGTCTTATGATGAATATCATTCCATGTAACAACATTATCGGAACCTGTTGTTCGAGATTGACCAATAGTAAAGATTTGACGAAGTTCAAAAGCTCTCTCAAGTAGTTTAAGTATATGTTGACCATCACTATTATTAGGTAAATAAGCAATACGAGTCGTTCCATGATATCGCGTACCTGGATTTGGATGTCTATCCTTGAAAAAAAACGAAAAGAATTAACGAACTTTTCATGTTGCTTTTATTTAATTAATAAAAACTCACATCTTGAACACCATCAGGAAAATAATATGTTATTTCAATTGTACCATTTGAATTATGTTTAAAACCTGGTAAACGACGGTTCCGAACAATATATTTCATTTGACCATTTTCCGGTTGATTTCCTATATTTCATACATTAATATTAGAGAATATAAAAAAAAATAAAAATAAAAAGCATATATCTACCTCGAATTTCACCATAGATAGTAAAACAACATGGACATTGAGGTTTAATTGTTTGAAAATATGGATCAATACAAGTTGAACAAAATGTATGACCACATTTATCAAGTTGTTTTGGTTCAGTACACTCATCCAAACAAATAGGACACATATCTATTTCTAAATAATGAATAAATGTTTATAAAAAAAAAAGATTACTTTTTTGTTTTTGATTAACCTGATTTTTGTTTTGATAAAGTGACTTTTACTTCTTGTATATCATTTTGATCTTTATAATTCGTATTTATATTCTTTTCATTAGATGCAACTGCTGCTGCTTTAGGTAATTGAGATTTATTATTTGCAGCTTGTGGCGGCAATCCTTTCGGCGCACCAGACAATGCTTCAGGCTTAGACGATGGCTAAAGACAGTAAATAACTTATCTACTTGTATTTTCAATTATAAAACTAACAGTGTCTTTTGTTGGTATGTGTTTTGGTGCAGGCTTTCCCATCATAAATCTATTCGGTGTTGATACATGTAGTTCTTTAGGTCCAGCCGCTGTAGAAGCAGATGCTGATGGAGCTCGTTCAGATTTTTTAACTACCGAAGCGTGTTTTTTTTCAGACTCTGGTTTGGGAGTTGATCGACGAGGATCTGACATATTTTAACAAATTATTTCTGAAGAAAGAAAGAGATTTTGATTAATAAAGTATATCTTGAAAGATCTAAAATAGTGAAACTATCAAAGACCTATCATCATTCAAGCTATCCAATTGAATTTAAGGATTATATTTTTGACATTTTTGCTACTTTATGCAACAATTGTCTTTCTTGAACTTGGCACAATCATGAATAAGAAATGATAATAGAAGAGATTATTATAGATAAGAGTTAAGAAACAAATATTGAAGATATTTTCTCTAAAACCAATTTTCTGAATAAAAAAAAATTTAGAAGATTGATGATGAAGGACATTGATTGGGTAATTTTTGCTAAAGTTGATCGGATTTTCGAAGAGTGCTGAAGAAAAACAAAATTTTTCAAGATTGGGAGAAGTAATCTTCTCAACATCCTTGTCTACTTCTTCAATATTTCTCTGAACAAAATTTATATATTCCAATATATACGAAAAATACTACATAGGACTTCATATATATTCTATTACTTTGTGAGCAGGAGCGGCGGAATGATTTCAATCTAGAATAGACTCAAGTTTTTAGCCAAACGAGCCCGGAGAACAGGTGATTTTCTTGATTTGTTTATAATGGTAAAAGCTATAGATTTTCTTGCTAGATTTTAATTCTGTATAAGTATAATAACTATCTAATGCTTAATTATTTCGAAAGAAATCCCGAACTAACGTAGTAACAGAGAAATACTACTTAAAAAAGTAACAAAAAAACAGGCAGAGAAGAAATAAAACTATTCATAACCAAAAAAAAAGCCATTTTTCTATTTTGAAATAAAATTAGAACAGATGCTGCACAAATCAAGAAAATCTCATTTTTCTTTATGAATAAGAAGAATAATAACGTGGTTTAAATGTTGTTGAATCATTGCACAACCTTAATATGTTCATATTCCAGTCATAACATTAAAGGATCATTTAGCGATAGCTGTTGTCAAATATAATGATAATTATTTATTGTATTTAGAAAATATAATTGTATCAACTTGTTGTATATTTAAAAGATAAAAGGTAGGCTGATTTTATGACAAAGCGAATTCTGTCAGAAGAAAATGCAAATTAAACAGTAATAGAAAATTTTTATATTTAATAGAGTCTACTTAAGGATCGATCTACCTAATTTACAAATCTACTGAAAGCTTCGTGGTTCCATCATTTATGTTTGAGATCTAAGAAAATGAAAATCCGGGATAGAAGTCTTAAGAAAAAAAAATCTTACGTTAACTGTTTTTGAAAATGAAGAAATTATAGTTAGTTGCTTTTAAATAGAGTTTGTAAACTTTGTTCATCGTATTTCCTACATGAAAAAAACAATGAATTAAATGTTAATTACTAGTTGGAAATCAGTCGGAAGTAAAATTAGCAGACGATAGAGAACAGCAGATGTATTGAAAAATAGTTAAATTATAGAAAACAAATTTTGGTTAAATTTTTTGTATATTGGAATCAAACAAGAAGAATAAAGCTAAATCATTATCAATATTATGAATACACATGATTCTATAAAGCAAAAAGTTAATTTTTAAAAATTGAGTAAAATAGTAAATGATTCGTTGAATTATCCTATTGGTTAACTGAATCAACGAAACAAATTCAATAGTGCTATTCTTTTCTATCCAAAAATTAGGCCCATATTCATTTATTTTTATTAGATATTAACATTCAATTGTAACAAAGTAAAAAATTTATCAATTTAAATAATTAACAAATCTATCCTCACAACAACTAGGAGCTTTCTTCTATGACTCATTTACTGTTTTCCTTTTTATATGTTTATTTATCCACCATATAAATTGATATCATTTATAATCGCTTCAATGAATCTTCATTTATTCCAGATATTCTTAAAACCAAGGCAACATTATTTATACAATCAAGCAAATATAAAAAATATTCAAGATGATTAATTGAAAACTTTGATTCTTAAAAAACAACTGATGCATTCTAATTCATTATCGAAAATTAAGACAAACAATTCTTTTTATA